AAAGAACAAAAATTCATACCAATGGGTGCAGGGCTTGGAGGTCGTCTGGGTTTCAGTGTTTCTTCTATCTTTTCTGCAGGAGGCTCTTCTGCTGTCTCCGTTTGTTGTTTTTGTTCTTGATCTTTTAATAAATGAGCCAGTAAGACTGAAAAAGTGCTCTGCATGGTTGTCTGGGTTGCATCCGGCTTAGCCTTAGGTAAAGGCAGTGATGAGAAGGTGGGCTGTTCAGGTTCAGGTTCTGGTTCTGGTTCTGCAGCTGGAAGGGGAGGCTCCTCTTTTGATTCTGGAGATTTATCAGCAGATGCAAGAATACCAGCTGGAAGATTTAGATTGTTCAGCTGTTGCTGAGTCTCTGGATTCACCTTGATATTCATAACCTGTGCCAACTGCGCCATGCTGACACAACTGGTCTGGGACTGTAATAAGTTCAGTAAAATGGCCACTGGATTCTGATTCAGCTGCTGTCCAGAACTTGGGTGACCTTAAGAAAAGTATACAGAGATGTTTAATGGAATGTAAATTGTAAATCCTTCATATGTATGTAATCAATATTTAATTGACACCTCAATTTTGATAGTACATGAAGCCAGCGGACACTTACCTAATCCAACACCAGGAAATCCCTGAGGCTTCATCTGAGAAGATGTCTGCATTCCTTGGGGAGTGCTGTTTCTGCTGTCATCCATTCCAGAAGATAAATCTTTCCTTGGTACTTTTGGTGCTGTGACATCATCAATCATTCCCATTTGTTTCTGTCTTCTGCGCGTTTCTTGCTCCATAACTCATGGCAGTCTTGCCAAAGAGGAAGGCTACAGGAAATGGAAGAAAAAAATAATTATAGTTCTTAGCAACTACCAAATCCAGTTATGTGATGCACAATCCTCAAAGACAAACAAGAAAAAGAAAAGAGAAGAAAAAAAAAAAAATTCCTTAACCAACCCCATCTGAACCAAATCCTCCTTTATGTATTCCCTGCTCCTCATCCCAGACACTGCAGCTCACAGTGGGAGGGTTTCATTAACAGAAGCAGTGCTGTTAAACACTAGTGGGCAGGACTAGGTCAGGCCAGGGTTTGATTGACAATCTACTTGGATATCAAATTAGTTGCAGCCTTTAACTATAAATTAAAAATCAAACAGTAAATCAGTAGTTTCCAGATGCGGCCCTTTGCTTGCCTTTATCTGGTCCTTGAGGCACTATTTCATCTACTGATACCAACAATCCGGCATAATCCTTCCCCCTTACAACAATGAAGGGGGCACAACACCTTCTAATGACACCAGTGATGGGGCACAACACCTTCTAATGACACCAGTGATGGGGCACAACACCTTCTAATGACACCAGTGATGGGGCACAACACCTTCTAATGACACCAGTGATGGGGCACAACACCTTCTAATGACACCAGTGATGGGGCACAACACCTTCTAATGACACCAGTGGTGGGGCACAACACCTTCTAATGACACCAGTGATGGGGCACAACACCTTCTAATGACACCAGTGATGGGGCACAACACCTTCTAATGACACCAGTGATGGGGCACAACACCTTCTAATGACACCAGTGATGGGGCACAACACCTTCTAATGACACCAGTGATGGGGCACAACACCTTCTAATGACACCAGTGATGGGGCACAACACCTTCTAATGACACCAGTGATGGGGCACAACACCTTCTAATGACACCAGTGATGGGGCACAACACCTTCTAATGACACCAGTGATGGGGCACAACACCTTCTAATGACACCAGTGATGGGGCACAACATCTTCTAATGACACCAGTGATGGGGCACAATTCCTCCCAATAACCCCAATGATGGGGCACTATTCCTCCCAATAACACCAATGATGGGGCACTATTCCTCCCACTGATACCAATGATGGGCACTATTCCTCCCACTGATACCAATGATGGGGCACTATTTCTCCCAATAACACCAATGATGGGGCACTATTCTCCACAATAACACCAATGATGGGGCACTATTCCTCCCAATAACACCAATGATGGGGCACTATTCCTCCCACTGACACCAATGATGGGGCACTATTCCTCCCACTGACACCAATGATGGGACACTATTCCTCCCACTGACACCAATGATGGGGCACTATTCCTCCCACTGACACCAATGATGGGGCACTATTCCTCCCAATAACACCAATGATGGGGCACTATTCCTCCCACTGACACCAATGATGGGGCACTATTCCTCCCACTGACACCAATGATGGGGCACTATTCCTCCCACTGACACCAATGATGGGGCACTATTCCTCCCACTGACACCAATGATGGGGCACTATTCCTCCCACTGACACCAATGATGGGGCACTATTCCTCCCAATAACACCAATGATGGGGCACAATCCCAAACAGGTTACACACAGGTTTCCTATCTCTCTAAGGGACGCCAAGGTAAGATGTACACCAGCAGTTCTGCGTAACAGTTGTGCCCGTTCTAAAACCACCAGACGAAACCATCATGTGACCTCAATAGATTCTCCAATACAAATTTCTGTGAGCTGTAAGAGAGCGATACATCTTTTCTACTACCTCTTGTGTGTGCGAAACATGCCTGGCAGCGAATAAAAACCATTGATACTGAACCAAGGCTTATATCACTCTTGGGTGAAGCTGGCTGTGAAGTACAGCAGAAGTACTGGAGATCAATAAAATGCAACTGAAAACAAAAATATTAAAAGCATCTTACTCAGGGGGGGCCATTTTAGATGGGTCTACATCCCGGAGAAATTCGCATTGGAGAGCTTGTTCAGCAGTACATCGTTTGCTCGGATCCAACGCTAGCATGTGGTCAAACAGATCCAGTGCAGCAGTGGGTATGCTGGAGGAAGAAATCAACAGTAAAGTACCTGAAAGACCTCATGTGTGTCAGCGATAGTCTGCTTTCCTGTATAATCACGATCAGTATCACAGAGTGTCAAACACCCTTCGGCAGAAGATCTAAGAGCCGATTCACACATGTGCGGAGCGGATTGAAGCTCAGATTTCACAGCTAATTGACATAGTAGTTGTTCAACGGTTCAGGTCAGGATCAGGTCAAGGTTTTATCCTGTTCACACATGTGCGTATTAGAAACATTTTCCATAGAAGTCAATAGCCTGTAATCCGCACCTGAACTGGACAGCACTGCTCAGAAATTGGACAGGACTCTTTTTCAATCCGCACTGCCAGTGCACTGGACATATGTGAACAGGTACCATGAGAAGCAATGTTATTTCACATGTCATGTGGATTACATTCAGTTCAAATCGCATCCAATTTGTGTGTATATAAATAAACTGGCACTAATTCAAATACAATACAGACAGAAACCTGGCTTCTAAATATGTTCTTAAGACAGAGTGCAATACACTTTGCCGCCTAGAGTATGATTTAACCCCCATTATAAGAGGCAGATGTAAAGGACAAGTTCACCTTTAGCCTAGCTTCACACTTATGTGGTTGTCAGTGCGTTTCCCAGTTTGCAAAAATGCACTACAGTCCATTTAAAAATGATTTCCTATGGATCTAGTTTATATTTGCCGATGCAATTTTTGAAAGGGTCAGGGAATTTTTTCCCCCCCGCAGCAGGTTGTGTTTTGTGCGTAATAGACTTCAAAGGAACCGAATCAAAAACACATGCAACAGACACCTCCCCCTAGCAACATTAAACAAATCCCAAAAAATGCATTAAAAAAAAAAACACATTAAAAAGAAAAAACGTGTTAAGAAGGCATGTAAAATAAATGCAAAATGAACTGGGAAAATGCATCATATCAGCGGTCCCGATTTTAAAATGTTTCTCTTGCTTTCATTTTACATGTGCAGCCATTGGAGAGCCTCTCACAAGCATCTGATGGCCCCTTGATCCTTCTCTGTCTTGCTATTTGCAGAATGCTGCAAGTGTGCGCCCCTCAGCAGCTGCTCAGCCCCTTTCAAATGAACACAAGCCCAGTGCGCTCTCACTTTCTCTAATTGCAGCAGCAGAGTTTGGTTGGTGCGGATAGAGGAGACAACGCACTATGCATGTGCACAGTTTGAACAGAGCAGACGCTAAGGGGCACACGCTTGCAGCCTCCAGCCAGTCATGCAATGGGGGATCGAGGGGCCAGCAGTCTCTTAAAAGCCCCCTCTACCCACGGCTACAATCTCCTAGATTGTAAGCTGGAAAGAACAGGGCCCTCGATCCCCTCGTGTAGTGTATTGTTACTGTCTTGTCTCATGTTCTGTCCCCCTTGCTAATGTACAGCGCTCAGCAAACCCTTTGGCGCTATATAAATACTGTATAATAATAATAATAATAAATAATATGTAAAGGGAACCAGAAACAGAATCATAAAATGAGGACTGCTAATATATTCTATTTATGGGATCTTGAATTGCATAGAGGATGTGTGTAAAAAGTTACTAAAGATGAACTTGCACATTTAATATAGCAACATTGCTTAGCAGACAGCAGCCTATTTGGTTTTGTTGGAGTTGTTCTTTTTTTGTACTCTTATAGGGTTGATGGCAGGCAGACACTGAATATCTTTCAAGCTCCACTTTTTAGGTGCATGCTTATTTAGCCTTAAAACATTAACATAATTATTTCAATAGTTCCTAAGATCTGACACAAACTCCTAACTCATTTGCTTGTTTTAAGGATTCTTACAAAGCAAATTCCTCTCGGATTTTTCGGCGATATTGCTTCTTTGGTTTCATGGTGTTGAAGTATGGTAACTTTATCACATCGGGCCAAACAGCAGGGCATGGACTTCCACACATGCGACTTAAAATGAAAAAATCAGAAATTTATAGTAAGTGTACATGATAATGACTGTAATTAAAGTAACTACACTTCAGTTAAACAAAGGCAGCGATTATGTGTGCCATGATTACAGACAATACAACTCATCAGCCTAATAGGGACTATTGATACTATTGGGATAAGTGGCCACTTCCCATATGGCCCCTATGACACAATGAGGACAAAAATAGAACTCACCTTATTAATTCAAGTTGTGCAAGTTCTTGATTAGCTTGGAAGATCGGTTTCTTTGTAAACAACTCACCAAGAATACACCTAAGACATCAAAACAATAAGTCAAAGGACTGTATTTATTATATGACATTTTTAATTTGCATGGTTATAAGCCTCTATCCTATACAAGGGTCACATTTTACTGAAACAGTAAATACCGGTTGTGAAATGCTCATATGCAATCAATGAGATCATAGCGAAGTATCACAGAACATAACAGAAGGTTATTTTACTTCTGGGGAAAACCATATTCAACGTCAGCAAATCTTACAATATAAATATATGTAATCATTTACTGGAAACACTTCGACTGTATATGAAGTTTACAGAATAAATGGAAGTTGAGAACAACAATTTAGCATGCAGACATACTAAATGGACTAGAGCGGTCCATATTCATATTACTCACCCACAGCTCCAGACATCAATAGCTGGTGTGTACCGTTCCTCCCCAAGCAACAATTCAGGAGGTCGATACCATAACGTAATGACTTTATTGGTGTAAGGCCGACTAAAACAAGGAAAGAATACAAAAACAACTACTTTAAAATAAGTTGCACAGAAAAAGCATACAGAAATCAAAGCTAGTGTTGTATAAACAAGTGTCAGTTGATCTTGATCCATGGAAGTCCTGCTTCGGGTGTCACATACAGAATATAAATGTCATTCAGTACAGACATTTCTTCATTTGACAAAGTGCCAATGAATACTCAGTTGTGCTCTGTGCTTTTTCTCCTACTTTGAAGCACTGTATGGTATTTGTGTACACTGCGCCATTGTAAACCAAGGTGATAGAATAGCTATGGAATGTACATACCCCCTCCTTGTATAGTGTATTGCACGTTACACCTTAGAGCAGCGGTTCTCAACCTTCCTAATGCCGCGACCCATTAATACAGTTCCTCATGTTGTGGTGACCCCCAACCATAAAATTATTTTCGTTGCTACTTCATAACTGTTATTTTGCTACTATTATGAATCGTAATGTAAATATCTGATATGCTGGATGTATTTTTCATTGTTACAAATTGTACATAATTAAAGCATAGTGATTAATCACAAAAACAATATGTAATTATATATTGTGAAATATTTATTTCTAATTACAAATAAATGAAATTTTGTCTTGAAGCATGGTGTAGCATGGGTCTTAGGCGACCCCTGTGAAAGGGTCATTCGACCCCCAAAGGGGTCGCGACCCACAGGTTGAGAACCGCTGCCTTACAGGTTACTGAAAGTACACTAAATACACACACGTATCTAACGAATGATGTATACAATATAGAAAATGTACCGCTCATATCATTTATTTCATTAGAGGTAATAAAGTTAGTAAAGTACCCATACACGCAGAGTGTGTGCGGCAGCTGGCAGTTTAGTCGCAGTATCACTGCATTAGATTTTATTATTATTTTTATGATAAAACAACAACAGCCCTCCATGAGTTCACCTTTAAGAACAAGATTCTCACCTTTCTTCTGAACTGTACAATCTTGCAAGTCCGAAATCTGCAAGTTTGATCTGCCCCCTTGTGGAAACAAAACATACAGAATGAATAAAGTATAATACACTATAACAGGGGTGGCCAACCTGCGGCTCTCCAGCTGCTGCAGGATTACAAGTTCCATCATGCCTCTGCAAGTCAGTAACTTCCCATCTTTGCAATGCCTCATGGGAAATGTAGTTCCACAACAGCTGGAGAGCCACAGGTTAGCTATAAGAACATACCAATCACAACACACCACAAACCAGGTAAGAGTATAGACCATGCAGCTTTGTTTTTTAAATCCATGTTTGTGTGTCAGTGAGGCCACCATGCATTTTAACCACTCGCCCTCCTGAAGAGTTACCCCTCTTGCTGACAAGGCCATTTTTTGCGTTACGGTGCGGCGTTATTTTAACTGACAATTGCGAGGTCATGCAACACTGCGCCCAAATTAAATTTGTGTCCTTTTTTTCCCCCACGAATTGAGATTTCTTTCTGTGGTATTTGATCGCCTGAGCGGTTTTTATTTTTTGCGCTATAAAAAAGTAAGACCGACAATTTTGAGGAAAAAAAAAAAAAAACAGCATTTCTGACTTTTTGCTATTAAACATGTCCAGTAAAAAAATTTTTAAAAGTCAAATTTTGGCATAAATTTAGGCCAAAATGTATTCTGCTACATGTCTGTGGTCAGGCAAATATTGCTTTTCTTGCTGAATTTGAAGAACTCCTTTAACCACTTGTCTTCCAGAAGATTTACCCCCCTTCCTGACCAGGTTATTTTTTTCGATACGGCGCTAAGTTGCTTTAACTGGACAATTGCACGGTCATGCAACGCTGTGCATAAATGAAATGTTGCTTTCCCCCACAAATAGAGCTTTATTGCGGTGGTATTTGATCAGCTTTGCGGTTTTTTATTCATTGCACTATAAATGAAAAAAGACTGACAATTTTGAAACAAAAAAAAAAAAAAATATATATTTTTGACTTTATGCTATAAAACAAATCCAATTAAAAAAAAAAAAAATCTAATTTCATCATAACTGTAGGCCAAAATGTATTCTGCAACACGTCTTTGCTAAAAAAAAAAAAAAAAAAAAAAAAAAAATCCTAACACGTGTAAATGAATTGGTTTCCGTGAAGTTATAGTGTTTACAAATGGCGGTATATATACACTGGGACTTTTTTTTTTTATTTTCTATTTTTACTAATAATGGCGGCAATCAGCAACTTAAAGTGGGACTGCAAGTGTAAAAATCCTCAGCCTCTTGCATCAACTTGATTTACCTCAAAAACAAAAACATAAAAACCACATAGTGCATTATCCTTTATAAAGCAAATTAACACGTAAAAACAATCCAGTGATATTTCACCCAAGTGAAAAAGGTGTATAAATAAAAATATATATAGACACATGTGCATATACACAATATATAGTGAAAAACCGTGTATGTGAATCACTCTTTTTTGTGCTCAAAAATCACACAACACAGTGTACACTTCTACTGAAGTAACTAGAAGTTTATCACTGAGCATATTATTGTTTATATTTGTACACCTCTAAGGGTAGGGGTGAAGTGTGCTTAAAAGAAATTGGGGATTAATAGTGATTTATATTTATTATTATTAAAGTGGGACTGCGGCAGGCACTCTGACACTGGGTGGAAACTGACTTGGTGTCACTGACATCCCCAGTGACACCAATACAGTGATCAGTGCTAAAAAAAAAAAAAACAAAAAAAACATTGACACTGTACTAATGGCACTGGGCAGGAAGGGGTTAACACGAGGGCGATCAAAGGGTTAACTGTGTGCTGTTTAAGCAATATGTAGATCCTCAAGTACAACATCCAAGATCCCCCCTCTAGGTGAACACTTCATTCCTCTCCAGAATTCTCTCCTTTTCTACATGGAACTAATAGCTCTGTCCCAGTTCTCACTATTGGAATTTTAGTACTCTGACATACAGGTTTTAACAGACCAGAGAGAATTTGTTCCTTCGTTATTACACTTGTGTCACCTCACTGCAAGGAGTGTGCCCAGAACTGCCATTGCACTGCAGACTATGTGTACCCATCCTTGGTTCCATGTCACAACCTCCTCCTGCGCCAAGGGAGTGTGCCTTCCCTGCAAACAAACCTCCACAAGGAGGCTGAAGAGCGCTCAATCAATGAAAATCATGTACTACATTTTTAGAATGCATGGCTTCCTATGGAGTAAGGCACACAAGCAGCATGAAGTAACTGGTAAACGTACAGTATTCCAAACATGTGTGATAAGAGGTATATGGTGCAAACTGCTGGGTAATAATAGTATTTGTATTTTCATCTTGGTGTGCTTTGTGCATTTCTTCTAGATCTGTTCAGTAATCCAGAGTGAAACTCTTGCTTGCTGCAGGAGCATCCTGTAATGAAGATGGATCTGCACGCTGGGCAGAACTAGGGTCATTGGTTCGAATCACAACCACTGCACCACCTGCTTGGAGTTTGCATGTTCTCCCTGTGCCTGCGTGGGTTTCCTCTGGGTACTCCAGTTTTCTCCCACACTCCAAAGACATGCTCGTAGGTTAATGGATCCTGTCTAAATTAGCCCTAGTATGTGTATATATGAATGTGAGTTAGGGACCTTAGATTGTACGCCCCTTGAGGGTTAGGGACCTTAGATTGTACGCTCCTTGAGGGTTAGGGACCTTAGATTGTACGCCCCTTGAGGGTTAGGGACCTTAGATTGTACGCCCCTTGAGGGTTAGGGACCTTAGATTGTACTCCCCCTGAGGGTTAGGGACCTTAGATTGTACGCCCCTTGAGGGTTAGGGACCTTAGATTGTACGCACCTTGAGGGTTAGGGACCTTAGATTGTACGCCCCTTGAGGGTTAGGGACCTTAGATTGTACTCCCCCTGAGGGTTAGGGACCTTAGATTGTACTCCCCCTGAGGGTTAGGGACCTTAGATTGTACTCCCCCTGAGGGTTAGGGACCTTAGCTTGTACTCCCCCTGAGGGTTAGGGACCTTAGATTGTACGCACCTTGAGGGTTAGGGACCTTAGATTGTACGCCCCTTGAGGGTTAGGGACTGATGTGAATGCACAATATATATATGTAAAGCGCTGTGTAAACTGACGGCGTTATACAAGTACCTGTACTACTACCAGCCACTGCTGCTTTCTCTCATTGTGCAGATTAACTTGTCTGGTCACCCCCCCTGTAGCTTTGTGCAGGCAGCCTGCAGCGTATGGATCTGCTGGGTCCCTGCACAGGCTATCTGCGGCCATTCATACATAGACAGCTGCCAGACAGTGAAACTGCAGCCACGTACTGTGCAGCGGCTGTCCCTTCAGTGTGTTGGCTGTAGGTGGGCAGTGTGGTGTGACATTAATTTCATTCATATCACTTAAACACGGCTCCAAAAAAATGAAAGGAACACTTTGAAAACGCATCAGATCTCAATGGGGTCAAATATCATGCTGGATATCTATACTGAAATGGATGGGGGGGACGGGTGAGGAACGTAAGGATGCCCCATCGTTTGATGGAAATGAAAATGATCGACCTAAAGAGGACTGAATTCCAAGTCCCCCGAAAATCAAAGTGAAAAATGATGCAGCAGGCTGGTGATGGATTAAGGGCCTTGAGGCGGAGTCACTCGGGTGATGTCCCTGGGTGGCCCCACCCCTTACATATTTAAGAACTCTCAAGCCAGGTCAGAGGCAGAAGGCTGGCAGCCAGTGTTTTTTTTTTTTTCCTTTTTGCGCGGCGGCGGACATCGCGATTGACGTTGTTGTGGCGGACATTCTTTTATTAAAGGACTTGATAAAGACCGTGTCCTGTCTTTTTTACACTACACTTTTTGTTTTTTGTGAAAGAGGATGGGGTACCATGTACCCCATCCTCATTTACATGGGGAGGGGGGGGGGGGGCCGGGATATGGAGGCCCCCCTTGTTTCAAGATTCCAATAAGCCCCCTGCCTGCAGACCCCCACAACCACCCACCAGGGTTGTGGGCAAGAGGCCCATATCCCCATCAACATGGGGACAAAGTGCTTTGGGAGGGGGGGAGCCCCCTGCCCCAAAGCACCCCCCTCCATGTTGAGGGCATGTGGCCTGGTATGGATCAGGAGGGGGGCGCTTGCTCGTCCCCCCTTCCTGACCTGCATGCTCGGATAAGAGTCTGGTATGGATTTGAGGGGGGACCCCCACACCATTTTTTTTTTTTTAATTTTGACATGGGAGTTCCCCTTAAAATCCATACCAGACCCATAGGGCTTGGTATGGATGGGAGGGGGAACCCCACGCCGTTTTTGAAATAATTTTTTTAATTGCCGGCAGTTCTTTTACACTCAGCTGTCAGGTCCCAGTTTTTAAATGCAATTACCGCTTTTTTTTCTTCTTCACTATATAGTAGTTTAGAAATTCAGCTGTCACTTTCCCCCTCCAGCTAAAAGAGAGAAACTTTCTTTTAGTTTATTTTTCCAAAGTTAAAAGAAACAATGTTTCCTTTCAGTTCCTTAAAAAGATACAAAGTTTCCTGTAACTCCAGGGAAAGTGACAGCTAATGTTGTGAGCTATAGTGAAGAAAAAAAAAGACGGAAATTGCATTTTAAAATCAGCGCTGACATACACTTCGTATTGCGAAAAAAATTTGTAAAAAATTTGTAAACCGAGGCATTATTTTCAATGGATTTTCATTCGTAAACTGAAAATTACGTTAACCGAGGCATTCGTAAACCGAAGTACGCCTGTGTGTCCCCCACCCACTATATAGAAAATAAAATCTTCCCTTAAGGGAATAGAAAAATATTTACAAACAATACGCACCTGTTATTTAGTAGAATATTTGAGCATTTAATATCCCTGTGCAAAAAGTTTTTCTTATGACAGTAGTCCAAACCTTCCATAAGTTGCTTCATGAAAGACTTTATATGAAGTTCATTGAAGTGCACTAATCCGGATTCCAGTAGACCCATCAAGTCGTGATCCATATATTCAAACACCAAATAAAAAGCTCCTGTAAGCAGAAAACTGTATGAAAATCACATTTTCTCATTACACTAAGGAGGCCGTTTATATTCAAGTGAAACCTGACATTCACTTTTTGCCACGACTCACCTACTTATTCTAGATGAGTTCCCGTTCACATATATGCAGATTGGATGCGGTTTGAATTGTATCCAATCCGCACGATATGTGAAAAAAACATCGCTTCCTATGGTGACCGTTCACATATGTGTGGTGCACAGCAGAGAAATACAAAGCAACATGTCTCCCTAGTAAAACACACAGCTAACTCTTTGATCGCCCCAGCTGTTAACCCCTTACTGCCCAGTGTCATTACAGTGTCAGTGCTTTTAATTAGCACTGATCACTGTATTAGTGTTACTGGGATTTCAGTGGCAGTAAGTCAGTCCCCCCCCCCCCAGTGTTAGCACTGATCACTGTCACTGTATTAGTGTTACTGGGATTTCAGTGGCAGTAAGTCAGTCCCCCCCCCAGTGTTAGCACTGATCACTGTATTAGTGTTACTGGGATTTCAGTGGCAGTAAGTCAGTCCCCCCCCCCAGTGTTAGCACTGATCACTGTATTAGTGTTACTGGGATTTCAGTGGCAGTAAGTCAGTCCCCCCCCCCCCAGTGTTAGCACTGATCACTGTATTAGTGTGTTACTAAGGGATTTCAGTGGCAGTAAGTCAGTCCCCCCCCCCCCCCCCCCCAGTGTTAGCACTGATCACTGTATTAGTGTTACTGGGATTTCAGTGGCAGTAAGTCAGTCCCCCCCCCCCCCCCCAGTGTTAGCACTGATCACTGTATTAGTGTTACTGGGATTTCAGTGGCAGTAAGTCAGTCCCCCCCCCCCCCCCCCCCCAGTGTTAGCACTGATCACTGTATTAGTGTTACTGGGATTTCAGTGGCAGTAAGTCAGTCCCCCCCCCCCAGTGTTAGCACTGATCACTGTATTAGTGTTACTGGGATTTCAGTGGCAGTAAGTCAGTCCCCCCCCCCCCCCAGTGTTAGCACTGATCACTGTATTAGTGTTACTGGGATTTCAGTGGCAGTAAGTCAGTCCCCCCCCCCAGTGTTAGCACTGATCACTGTATTAGTGTTACTGGGATTTCAGTGGCAGTAAGTCAGTCCCCCCCCCCCCAGTGTTAGCACTGATCACTGTATTAGTGTTACTGGGATTTCAGTGGCAGTAAGTCAGGCCAGTCCCCCCCCCCCCAGTGTTAGCACTGATCACTGTATTAGTGTTACTGGGATTTCAGTGGCAGTAAGTCAGCCCCCCCCCCCCCCCCCAGTGTTAGCACTGATCACTGTATTAGTGTTACTGGGATTTCAGTGGCAGTAAGTCAGTCCCCCCCCAGTGTGTTAGCACTGATCACTGTATTAGTGTTACTGGGATTTCAGTGGCAGTAAGTCAGTCCCCCCCCCCAGTGTTAGCACTGATCACTGTATTAGTGTTACTGGGATTTCAGTGGCAGTAAGTCAGTCGTCCCCCCCCAGTGTTAGCACTGATCACTGTATTAGTGTTACTGGGATTTCAGTGGCAGTAAGTCAGTCCCCCCCCCCCCAGTGTTAGCACTGATCACTGTATTAGTGTTACTGGGATTTCAGTGGCAGTAAGTCAGTCCCCCCCCCCCAGTGTTAGCACTGATCACTGTATTAGTGTTACTGGGATTTCAGTGGCAGTAAGTCAGTCCCCCCCCCCCCCAGTGTTAGCACTGATCACTGTATTAGTGTTACTGGGATTTCAGTGGCAGTAAGTCAGTCCCCCCCCCCCCCCCCCCCCAGTGTTAGCACTGATCACTGTATTAGTGTTACTGGGATTTCAGTGGCAGTAAGTCAGTCCCCCCCCCCCCAGTGTTAGCACTGATCACTGTATTAGTGTTACTGGGATTTCAGTGGCAGTAAGTCAGTCCCCCCCCCCCCCCCCAGTGTTAGCACTGATCACTGTATTAGTGTTACTGGGATTTCAGTGGCAGTAAGTCAGTCCCCCCCCCCCCCCCAGTGTTAGCACTGATCACTGTATTAGTGTTACTGGGATTTCAGTGGCAGTAAGTCAGTCCCCCCCCCCCCAGTGTTAGCACTGATCACTGTATTAGTGTTACTGGGATTTCAGTGGCAGTAAGTCAGTCCCCCCCCCCCCCCCAGTGTTAGCACTGATCACTGTATTAGTGTTACTGGGATTTCAGTGGCAGTAAGTCAGTCCCCCCCAGTGTTAGCACTGATCACTGTATTAGTGTTACTGGGATTTCAGTGGCAGTAAGTCAGTCCCCCCCCCCCCCCCCCCCAGTGTTAGCACTGATCACTGTATTAGTGTTACTGGGATTTCAGTGGCAGTTAGTCAGTCCCCCCCCCCCCCCCCCCCCGTGTCAGAATGACCGACGCAGTCCTGCTATAAGTCGCTGATTGCCACCATTACTAGTATAAAGAAAAATTAAAATTGCAACATATATCCCGCCATTTGTAGACGTTATAACTTTCCCGTAAGCCAATTAATGTACATGTATTGGGATTTATTTTTAGCAAAGACATGTAGCAGAATACATTTCGGCCTACATTTATGAAGAAATTTCATTTTTTTTTAACTGGATATGTTTTATAGCAAAAAGTCAAAAATATTTTTTTCTTCAAAATTGAAAGTCATTTTTTGTTTATAGCGCAAAAAATAAATGCAGAGGTGATCAAATACCACCGAAAGAATTCTCCATTTGTGAGGGGAAAAAAAAAAATGACATAAACTTCATTTATGTACAAGGTTGCATGTCGGCGCAATTATCAAAGTACCGCAGCACCGTATCGCAAAAAATGGCCTGGTCAGGAAGGGGGGTAGATCGTTTGGGGGGCAAGTGGATAATTTGGAAGGAATGGCAGAAGACTGACTCCTCGGTGCTAAGCTCACCTGACACAGGGACTGCGTGCTGGTAAGGCAGACAGATCGTGGCTCTGCAACACAGAACACAGCAGGGATATGCTTCCTTAACATTTTATGGGGAAACTTATGTTCACGGAACACTCCAACCAGCAGATGAAGTCAGTGCTCAGTTCCACAAAATTAACCCCTTCTGTGGTGGAAACCAGTGGGGAGGGGGGGGGAATAACAAATGGTATTTATTTTGCTTTGTATGATCTCTATATTCTATTTTGTAATAAATTGTAGCTGCATTGCTTGTTCTGATTTAGGGCTCGTTCACACTTGGCTGTGTTACCAACGCTTGCCTAACGCCCCTATAGCGTTTGGCAAACGTTAGTCCAGCGTTTTTTAACGCTCGGCAAACGCTCTGCAAACGCCGCATGCGCGGTTTAGCAGAGTTTGCCGAGCGTTAATAACGCCCCACAAACGCCTATAATGCAGTTTGAGTGGTGTTATCGCCCCGCAAACGCCGGCTGGGCATTTGCGGAGCGGCACCATAGACGAGAATAGGAGGCTTCAACGCCTCCTGACTCGACCAGAGGCGTCCGTTTTGCCACGATGCGACGCAACGCAAACGCTCCCGTTAGAACAGCACCATGTGCTGCAATGTGCAGAATTGGCAGAGGCGTTTGGGAAGCGGTAAAAACGCTTCCCAAAGGCCTCTCTGCCGCCTGCACACAACGCTAGTGTGAACGTAGCCTTATGGTCCAAACTGCTGATCTGCAATAAAGCTTCTGGGTAAGCATGACAGCCATGTTGGTAGCATTTTCAAAAATGGAGTTAAAACAATAGCAGCCTCAATATTTTCTCAGTACAAATAGAGCTCAGCAGGTGCAATACCTACATTAAAATACGTTTGCATCTTTTTACAGCTGTGGTCAGGCAAATCTAGCTTTTCTTGCTGAATTTGAAGATCTCCTTTAACCACTTGCACTCCAGAGGATTTACCCTCCCCCCCCTCCTGACCGGGCCATTTTTTTTGATACGGCGCTGCGTTACTTTAACTGACAATTGCGCCGTCATGCATCACTGTACATAAAACAAAATAAATGTTTTTTCCCCACAAATAGAGCTTTCTTTCGACAATTTTGAAATAAAAAAAAAAAAAAAACTATTTTTGACTTTATGCTATAAAAATATCCAATAAAAAAAAAAAAATCTAATTTCGTCAATTGCTAAAAAAAAAAAAAAAAAAAATCCCAATAAGTGTATATTAATTGGTTTACGTGAAAGTTATAGCGTCTACAAATGGAGATATATACACTGTAATTTTTAGCATTTATTCTTTTATACTAGTAATGGTGGCAATCAGCGACTTATGGTGGTACTGCGGTGAGCACTCTGACACTGGGGGGGGGGACAAACTGCCACAGACATCTCCAGTGACACTAGACCAGTGATCAGTGCTAATAAAAAGCAATGACTCTCTACTAATGACACTGGGCATGAAAGGGTTAACATCTGGGGCGATCAAAGGGTTAACTGTGTGTTAGGGAGAGATTTTATTGTGTACTGTGCTGTGTTTTACTAAGCAGACCTGCTGCTTTCCATCTCTTTGCTGTGCAGATATAGAAAGCAGCACGTCCATGTGACAAGAGTAAGAGCCGTTGTTTACACATAGGTCTCTCCCCTCTCAGCTTTGCCGACAATCACCGAGTCCCAGACGAAAATTGCCAGCTGGAACCCAGTGATTGATATATCCCCCCGGGGCCAATAGCAGCTCAGGTAGGGCGGCACGCGCCCCCTACCCGGAAATGCAAAATCACGTATATTTACGTGACTTTGCCCAGCACAGCCGCCTTGTAGCAGTACATCTGCTATGGGGCGGCGGAGTAAGCAGTTAATTGCACAGTATTAGGATTACTTCCCTGACGTCATTCGTTTAAATTAAATTTTGAGCGTGCAAAACCTTATTTGTCTCCAAAGTAATTGAAGATTTGTGGGCCTATTCTAAGGAGAAATTGAAAGCGGAGCTCTAAATGTCAACAGATATCTGGGGTCTGGCACTGCCTCTTCCTGCCCAACACCATCCTACTCCTCAAAGCAATGTCTCTCAATCTCACCAGGCTATGCCCTTGTTTCTTCCTACATTACAGGCAC